GGTAGGGCAGCGGCATTCAACGGATCCGGGCATCGTTACGTGTTATCAGTAAGACAGACGTTACGGCTGGTATCGATGTCGTCGGAGGATGCTAGGTCTGCTTCCATGTGCGACTATATGAAAGAAGGCCCGTTGTATTCCGAAGGGAAATCATGAATCCTACGAAGACAAGAATTAGGTAACAAGGTAATGTCGTGCAATCGATAAAACAAGGATTACGTGTTCACTTACCTGCTATGCTTAAGTAATTCAGAGAAACATAATTCTACCGCGCAAAATCATATCCGTGCACCTTTTGAAGCGGGTTCCACAGTATTACCTTACTACAGCGCTGCCTTGCCCAACCATCTTTCCTGGGTGCCCAACGGGCCTTAAGGCACGCGCTATTGTGTATCAGTGCACCCGCGTGCCCTCTGATTGTCTCACTGACGCCTGCTTTCCTGGGCCCAGCCGTGCGGATCAGCTGGAAGAGCTTGCGGTAATTGCCTACTGCTCCAGCCTCCTACATTTCTTCGGCCCAGTGGTAAACTAGGCTTCCTTGTCAGCACGTACGCTATGTTTTACTTCCCGCCTAATAGACCGACTGGTCACTTTGTGCTCATATCCAGCCTGGAGGTTTCTTCTAGATTCCAACAGGTCCACAGACCTCTCGAATATAGTGACTGGTGCCGTGAAGGTTGAACGTGCCACAAGCAGGTGCTCCGGCATCGTGCATCGCGGCCGAAATCCTATGCCGCTGAAGGTCAGTGTCATAAAAACGAGACCGCAAAAGTTCGGTCTGCAGTGTCGCGTGCTAGGCTTGTCTGACCTAGAGGTGAGACAATTTCTTAGTTACCAATCGGAGGTGACGCCTGGTGCGCCTCCCGGTAAAGTTCATAGAGAAATGACGGCGTACAATGGCATGATCATAGTCGACACAAGTACTCCAGTACGACTGGCGTTCCAGGATGTAAGCATGCCAAGTGTAACTTATGGCTGCGTTGTCAACTTGGGCCCATCGCTGGCCAGCTACAGGACGCTAAGTGGCACTTCACAGCCCACTGCGTCGTACAGCCGTGCTACTAAGGAACAACCTTCTCTGCAAACAATTGTAGCAGACGCTCGCTATTGTTAGTCCGTTCGAAGTTAAGCCCGTAACTACCACCCAGGTGAGCTCCTGAAGAGCGCAGACGCCGTACTGGTGCGGTTCGGATACGCAACGCACACGTCAATACCTGCGACCACGGGGATCACGCTTCCGTACGCTGTGTTTTCTCTAAGTAGTTCACCGGGCGGCGCGCCAGGCGTACCCAGTGATGGCTCACTGAGTGTTACGCTTAGCGTTCGGTCAGGCAAGCCCTCTCCTGGTTTCGCCAGCCTGGACTTGCTATACAAACTCCTGACGGGTTTTCTCCCATTTACCTGAGTCGACCTAACGGCACTGCACCTCGGATTTTCTCTACGGTCCAATTTAGGTGCGGCAAGTTTTTCATATATCCTACCATTTTGTGAAAAGTGCATACCACCCGTGGACTTTGATGCCACTACTATCGAGCATGATGCCTCGATTCTTTTTGAACGCACCTGCTGAAGTCCCATTGCCACATCTTCAATATCCTCCCCCGCCACAGAGGTGTGATTCACATTCCCATCAAGAGCAAGTTTCTCCACAACCAAATGCAGGCCAGGAATTATCTCGCTGGCGTCTTGTGAAGGGGGTTGTCTAGACCACCCGACTGCCCTTGCCACAGGAGAGCGGACGCCAGCGTTTTGCTTATGTGTCTGCGTAACGTGAGGCTCACTATCGTGAATTCTAATCTGTGAGACCGCAGATTCGTTAGCCAAGCTGGTATTAGTACCTTCTAACCGGCTCATCCGATGGGCTTTAGCCTTCGAAGTTAGTGTGTCCGGTGTTGTTTCATACCGACCAGTTGTCTGACTTGCAACCAACCCATTCCTGTTACGTAGAAGGTCCCGGTGTATAGGGTTCCGGAACGCCACGAGGATAGCCCTTGCATAACCTTGTTGGCAGAGCATACTTGTTTCTCTCTAGCTGCAAACACGATGTACTATTTTAGTACCAACATATAACGGTATTCCGGCTATACGAAGGATATCGGGCACCCGCCTTCTATCTAGGTCCCGTCGAATTTTAGTTTCCCGTATAACTGGCTCCTCCCTATCGCAGAAAAGAACGTTTCGTTCTCTAATCATGGCAAGTTCTGCGCTTCGCAAATAACATTCCAATGAAGACGGCAATTCTTCAACTTCTGAACGCAAGGTCTCAAGTAGCAAGCTGTGGTCAGGACTCAACTTCTCGGCAATGTCTAGTCTATGCACACGATTTCTACTAGCAGACTCATGCACAGCTGAGACATGAGTAACTGGATCAAAAGTCCGATCGTGTATCAAGTGTGAATCAATGTCTGCTAAACACACGCAGTGGAAGCAACTCCACTTTAATTGGGAATATCGGGCATAAAGATCAATATAGTCCGGTCTAATCTAGAGCAATTCTTATGGTACCATAACAAGCCTCTGTCGCATTGAATTCCCTCCTTGACCTCAACGTCAAAAGTGTGCTCACCACATTTATAGCCAGCCACCGATGTCTTTACAAATAGCACGTAACCGCCACGTATAGAATAATTAAAAGCTAGGTATATTCAGGTTCAGATGGCCCGGAACGATAGGAAAATCCCTTGAGTGTTCCTTCTTGAGCAAATCTTTTAGGCAGGAAATGACAAGGTGCTAGTTCTTGGTAGATATAAAACGAAACACCCGAAACACACCCAGATCAACCAATTACTGCCCACGTTCCCTGCACTAGCAGTCCGCGCTGTGGAGGTTACGTGAAATAAGAGGTAGAAAGAAAATGGAAGATAAAGGGGAATGAAAGTCATGAAAATGAAGGATAACACCAAAGAGTGAAGAGAATGACAGAATAAAACTAAAAATTTGAAGATGGATATGGTCAGAAAAAGGGAAAGGTTTCGTGTTGCCACCCAAGAGCGTCTAAATGGAAGCGCTTTCCAGCGCTCGATAACTCTACGCAATAACCGAGTTTCCGCCCTGATCCGGACAGCACGCGGCTTGTATAGCTTCATGGGATGACCGCGAAGACAAGGCAACCTAGCGGGCTACATAGCCAGCTTAAGTCCGGTTCAACCTACCCTGTAAAAATGCGGTAAGTAAGGATTACGTCTCCTCGAAGCCGTCGGTAGTGCACGGAATACATACATACATACATGAGTGGCTCTGAAGGTGCAAAAGCACCACCCAGTATAGCTCAATGGATCACAGGCACACAAACCATCGCACCACGGTAAGGTCCAGCCTCATTGCGATGGACCGGCTCCGAAAACAAATATCAGTATCAAACTCACGAATAACTTCTTTTTCGGGGTCACCAATTATAGCGGTTGATTGTGCGCTTTATATCCGGTAAGCGAATAGACGGCCAACCAAAAGCAGTGGGTAGAAGACAAAAGAGTAAGCTAGTGAAGCAGTTTATTGGACTGGAGGAGCATTAGCTAATGCTAAAATAGGGCACCCGGAAAGAGCTAGCTAGGGAGAATGTCGTTGGAGTCGAGTGCATTGAGAGAGCGTCGTTCGCAGTCGAGTCGCGCGCCAAAGGCGGAGATCGTGTTTGTGTTTCCAACAAACGGGAACAACGTTCCAACAGGCAAACCGAATAGTTCCTCAATACATAATAAAGCTAAAATTTGCATAGTTTAGAATAGTTTACACAGTCCTACGGGGGAATCTCCAGGTCGCAACACCTTGGAGATACTTCCATGGCTTCGATATACCACTACAACTGTAAACTGAGCAGAGGATGTGCACCCAATAGTCGAGTGGGCTTTAACAATAATCCGGCGACTGGAACACACAGGTCCTCAACAGAGCGAGTTTACAACCCACATAAAGTGCGACGCCCCCACCTTGGCGGCCAACGGAGCGATCGCATCTAAACAGTGCGTAGCCAGGAAAAGATACCTCACCGTCTGTGATATCCGGGGACAGCCACGTTTCGGTGATAGAAAGTATGTCGGCACGAGATTTGTCTACAAGTAGCTCGAAGGCGGGAAAGGTGCTCCTATACGAAGGACGGAACACTTAGCCTGATTTATGGGACGTAACCTCAAAGTAGACCACTCCCAGAGTCTGTCCAGTGCATGACGTATGGTCTCAGAACCCTCAGGAACATTTAAAACATTACATAGATTAAGGTCATCAGCAAACAATAGGGATGATACCCCAAGCTCTCCAGGGAGATCGTTTACGTAGATGGAGGACAGCATCGGTCCAAGGACCGAGCCTTGTGGGACACCGCTAAGGACCGCTTGCTTAAAGGATAAGCTGCGACCAACACATACACATTATACTCTTCCCTGTAAGAACGCAGCTTGGTAGGATTAACTGACCAAATTAATGCAGGTATAACGGCTTAAGATGAATAACTAGTCACAACAAGTTAATACAATAGAAAATAAAACAATATTAAATAAAACAATAAACACAGCAAATTAACACTACCAAAAGGAACAAAGAGAAGCAATACTGGAAGAAACTCACGTGGTTATCGAAGATCCAAGATATCTGGGATCCATATTTGATGGATCATAGTAAAAATTTCCCACTCAGTCACTTTAGATCACGCTTCCAAGCCAAATTTGAAGATAGAAATTTCAAGGTAGAGCTTTTTTAAAATTTCAAAGCGCGCGTCAAGTGATTTCCAATACTCCTGTAGGCTATCACAACAACTAACTATGAGAACCACATTAACCTTCTTCAATACAAAACATACACCGAGTTAACGTATGTATACTATATATATATATATACATATATATATATATATATATATATATATATAAACCGCCATCTAATGGCAACCTCTCCAGTTGGCCTAGCATACCTACCGAAACAAACCCGCCGATAGGCAAATCTCAGATGTGATAGTCCCGGTCCGCCCATTAGTCATGTGGAGCTTCGGCTTTTAATCCCGTGACCTTGCCGTAAGATCCCGAGGCAGAACCACTGAAAAGCTACGCTTACTCGTTCTGCGCAAACCCGTGAAATAGTGTTCTATGTTCGGTGGGGCTTCCTACGGTGACCTATTGAAGGTCATTGGTATTCACGTGAGGCCACATCGGTATTACATGCTTCCCATGGAGGACCGAGCGTTAGCTTATTGCGATTCATAAGGTAAGAAAATCGTTGAACTGCGGTTGCTCCAAATATATTTGTGTCCAAATGCAGATGTCATCACTTGTTAAGACGTCTGACGGCTGGGCGGAAGAGAAAATACCCACACTTCGTTTGCCATCTCAACTGCCACCCATGAGGCACATTCTGATGCTTTGTTTTACTCTGCTTAATGCGAAGCTGAGTTAGTCCCTTGCTCGTGTTCTCCGGAAGAAAAACAGCCCTGCCCGCATGAGTGACCAAAAAGTGTCTGCCGGAGTGACCTTTGAACTTCTCTGTATGACCAGATTTTATGCCCCCGGCCGCGTCAATTGGACACCTTTCGGACGAATGTTGGTCACTCAAAACGTTTTTTCGTAACTGACTATTAACATGTACCTTAGGTTCATTTTCCCTGATTGCAACTACCGTTAACTTAGACGACATCGACTCCCAAATTGTAAATACGCAATAGTATAACCATTAAACCAAACCGAAAATGTTTATGAGTGACCAAAATTCGTCCAAATTGGTCAGCAAGTTTTCTTCAAAGCACCCTTACCAAATGCTGTCAATGCATTTTTCTGATGGCAAATGCCGTCAACATTAAGCAGAAATCGGTTTCCAAACTTCACTTGCATAATACTGTAACGGACGCTCCCGGGCCAGATATCAAACATCCTTGATCTGGTTTACTCCGTGACTTGGAGACCCTCGGCCGAAGCGACCATTCAGTAGTCTCCTCGTGGTCACCTCTTACCATCACTTGCGGAGCATATCGCCGTAACTTTTGGCGTACAGATCCATCCAGATTGCATGCTGTGACAAGCTCGGAAGAGTGGATTATCCCTCAGTCCCTCAATGTCGAGGAAGCATGGAACCTACTGCTGACCAAGATGACGTCCATCATGAAAAATGCCGTCCCGATATACAAAGGCAAGCCATTCCACAAAGGACTCCTTGGATCGACTGAGAATTGAGGTCCTTACTGGGCAGACGTCGTAAAATCTGAACCGTATTCAATAGAACACAACTAGCCTCGGATTACCTAAAATACAGGGACACCCTAAAAAACTGGCACAAGCGAGCTCAATACGAACATTACCTAGCTTTTCAATCTCGTACGTGACCGAAGATGCTTTTCTCATACGTAAGGCAAAACACCAAAGCGGGCGTTGGTATGCTTCCTATATCTGTCTCTGGAGGAAGCACGATGATGAGGAAGCCAATCTACCGGCGTCGCAGTACTCAGATGTCTGCGCGCTAGAGCCAACGTTGTCCAAGAACGATGTGTCCACGTGCTTCCTAACCCTGGAGCAAGTCAAACTTAACGTCGAGATGGCTATGCGACTAATCCGTGAGTTGAACCCTGACTCCGCACCAGGCCCTGACGGACTACACCCACTATTTCTCAAGGTGTTGGCCGACTACATCGTTGACCCAATGTCCCAGGTATTCCGGCCCTCACTGGCAGTGGGCTGCTTGCCTGGCCCTTGGAAACAGCATAGTAATGCCTAACTACACAGGTGATTGACAGGAACCTGCGAACTCTTGCCCGATGTCTCTGACGTCTGTTGTCTGCATAATCTTGGAAAGAATAATCAAGCATACTCTCAACGCTCACTGGGAAGGCTTATGCTTAATCTCCCCCTCACAGCACGGATTTCGCAGCGCACAATCGTGTATCACTAATCTGTTTGCTGCCAGAGAAGCATGGGTTAAAGTAACAGACGAGAGGAAACTCCTTGATGTCTTCATTGACTTAAGCAAGGTATTTGACAAATTGCCACCTAAACGGCTTCTGCTCAAACTTTATGAAGCTGATGTCAGTAAACCTCTTATTCTGGATTTCAGACTTCCTGGAAACGAACCATACAAGTGAAGGTGTATGGTGACCTGGAGATTCCCCGTATGACTGCAAATTATTCTAAAATGTATTAAAATTATAGCTTTCTTATGTATTAGGGAATTAGGCGGTTTGCCTGTTGGAACCCTGTTTCCGTTTGTTTGGAATACGAATACGATATCCGCCTTTGGCGCGCGCGACTCGACTGCGAACGACGCCCCGTCCACGCACTCGACGCCGAACTACATTCTCCCTAGCTAGCTCTCTTCTGATGCTCTATTTTTAGCATTAGCTAACTCTTCCCTTTCAATAAACATTTTCCCCAGCTTTTTGTGTTCTACCCATTGCTTATGGTTGGCCGTCTAATCTCGCGCCGGATATATAGCACATGATCATCGAGCTATAGGTCAACGAAACACTCACTGTCCCTGTGCTTATGACCATTGGGGTTCCCCAAAGCTTCGTTCATAGATCAGAGCTCTTTAACCTACATCAACAATCTTCCAGCGACACTACAAACCGATTATCTAGTCTACGTTGATGACCTCAAGCTGTGGTCTGAAATATCTTACCGTGAAGATGCCGACGGACTCCGAGCTTCGCTTGACCAGCTGTATAACTGCTCCGTTGAGTGTTGACTCCAGGTAAACCGTGACAAATATGTCATTCTCTCGATTGGTGGCCCGGATTCTTTCTTTGCGTATCTCTTCAAGCCTATAATACATGAGAAGGACCTAGGAGTCATCGTCTCGCACGAACATAAGACATCACTTGACAAGTAGAAGAAAGTCACGGCAGCCAATCTAATGCTCTAGCCTTTGCGAAGACCGTTCTGTAAAATTACGCCGGTCTTTAGAACGCTGTTCGCTTTGCATGTCCGCCCGATCCTAGAATATCATCTTTTGGCCACTCACCCCCTAACGAAATCTGAACATGATCTGATATGGAAGATGCAGAGACGCTGTTCAAAATCGATATCAGAGCTTCGGAATCTTCCATACACTCTATAGTGGAAAGGTCAAACGAAAAGGGGCTTAATTACATAAAAGAACTCTCAGTTTGTAAATAAGAATGCTGGACCTTACCTTAGGTAAAGCACAATCCTCGGTAGGCCGTCAGTTAGCCGCACAATCCAGTCGGAAGACGAAACAGTCAGCACAATAATTCGATGCGTTAGATCCGATGATCGATGAACGAGGCTAGCAGACCGACGACGAGCAACAACACAACACGCGTAGCCGAAACCAGAAGGCGGATCGAAAGCCAAAAAAGTCTTTTTTCCCGTTGTTGTTGGTCGGTTAAAACAAAACTGTACAATAATAGTGGAAATGAGAATAGGAAAGTACAATTGGGAAGAGATATATGTACAATCGCTATAGAACTCCCCTCTAGAGCGTAAGTCACTGGGACGAAAACTCGATACTTGTGTCATTTATCGTTGTCTGGAAGGGAGATGAACTGTACGTCCGAAGCGCGTTCGGTGATGTGATTTCGAGTTTGTGTTGTGAGATGCTTGGGGTGCAAAAGAGGGAACAGTGGTGTCACACATGGGCTGAGTAGGCGGCGTACTTGGGAAGATGGGCTGGTTGGTGACAGGAATGTCTGTGGGTTTCGGTACTGGTCGCGTCTCGATGTAAGCCGGCTTCAAGCGGTCAATACTCACAGTATCCCGATAACCATTTCTATCCGGCACGAAGTACTTCTCTTTTCGGGCAACTACCTTGAAGGGGCCCCCGTAAGGCGGTGTCAGAGGTTTGCGGACAGAATCGACACGCACGAGAACGAAGGGGCAAGTGCGTAAATCCGGGTGTACCTGTTGACTCCGAGGACTGATTTGAAGTGGTGTTAGGCGAATTGAACTGAGGTGTCGCCTCAGGCGTGTGATGTACGAGGTCGGATCAAATTCTCCAGTAACCCTTGAGTCTAGCACCGTTTCTCCAGGAAGTCTGAGTAGTGCCAAAGACCAACTCAGCGGGACAACAACCAGTGTCTTTAATGGTGTTACGAATACCAAACAAGATAATCGGTAGGCGTTCTGACCATTGTGAGTTCGACTGTGAAGCAGTAATTGCGGCTTTAAGTTGGCGATGGAAACGTTCGACGATGCCACTAGCAGCTGGGTGCTAGGCGGTTGTCCATAAGTGGGAACAACCGAGCAAGCGGTTCATGTCACGAAACAAAGCCGAATTAAATTGGGACCCTCTATCGGTTATAATAGTGGCTGGCGTGCCAAAGACGGAAATCCAATTCTCAATGAATGTTCGCGCCACAGTTATTGTAGAAGCATCACGTAAATGCACGGCAAGTGGCCAACGCGTGTAACGATCAACACGTCAATAAGTAGACAAAACCGTTGGCTGGAAGCAAGAGTCCAACCATGTCAAGATGAACATGTTTGAAACGACCGTCCGGAAGAGTAAACGTGCCGGGGACGGTAATCGCATGACAGTGAATCTTGCTGGTTTGGCAAGTGCTAGTGTTTGGCCCACTGTTGGATCTCGGAGCGCATGTTGTGCCAAATGAAGCGATCAGTAATCAGCTTGACGGTGGCTCGGGTGTGAGATTCCATGCTGGTGGTCAAAGACAATTCGGCGGTATTGCTGAGGGACAAAAGGCCGGTGCTTGCCAATAGAAATATCATAGTAACTTTCGGAGTCTGAGTTAAGGATTAGCAGCTGTGATAGTTTGATCGATTGATTTGATCTGTTGCATAAACTCAGGAGCTCATTTCTGGTGAGCTGCTATGTCTTCTAACTTAATGGTCTGCCGTGAAAGTTCGTGAAGACATATATGCGACATGACATCGGCGACAACGTTATTGGCAGCATCGTCATGGCGAATGTCGGTAGAAAACTGAAATATAATCCAAATGACGAATTTCTCTGGGGGAGAAACGGTCGGATGAACCACAGAAAACAAAGGCAAGTAGTTTATGATCTGTAAGAATGGTAAACGTGCGACCTTCAAGCTGGTGCCGAAAATGTTTGGTAGCGAGGTAGATATCTAAACGTTCTCGCCCAAAGGTGCTGTATCACGTCTGTGCTGGCTGGAATTTGCGAGAGAAAAAGGATAGCGGCTTAGGTTGACCGTTGATTACCTGCTGGAGAACAGCCCCTACGGCGGTCTGAGATGCATCAGTCTTGTGGATGAGAGTGGCCTCAACATCAGTCCTCAA